CCTTCTGGATCCATCGGGGTCCATCACGTGACAACAACCAAATGAAATCCATGGATCGCTTAGCTGGCCTAAGCAATCCCTATTTGCTATAAGAAACCTGGATGTGCCTGTCTAGGGTTGCGCCTCTTTATTATGACAAGTATCACGTGAGCATGTGATTCGTGACATGGACCCGGATAGATCCCAAAGGGATTCAAGGGATCTGATGGATCCAGGAGAGGACGAAGGTTCTATATAAGACTGGCACGTCTGCCATTAGATAGGAGCTTCGTGCTCAACTTAGTTTAGCAATCTAGTTATTAAGTTATTACTTCTTTGTTAACAAGTGACGAGTTTACCTCCGAGTAAACAACCCGGCGCATCTGTACTTCTTACCCGCATACCAACCGTCGAAACGATTACCTTTGTCAGATAGTTTGAGTTTCGTCACAACTAGCCTTAGTATTATAGCTACTCTTCTCTTACTATAAATATAATATCTTTAACTAATAACTATACTATATAAATATATCTTATTAGGCTAATTTTTATATTAAAATACTTCTTAAGATCTAAGGAATTGATTTATTTATTTTATAATCTATTTAGTTTACTTTTACTATTATAAGATTAAGTAGTACATAGTCTTACTTAGTATTGTGACGGTTATGGTCACGAGGGCTGGATGTCACATGCTCGCTTAGCGAGGCGCTAGCGCGCACGACCTGTATTTAGTTCCCAGCTCTCTTGAGCTCTCCTTCTTTCCTCGTCTTTTGTCCTAAGAATAGAGTGTTAATTGTTCTGAGTTCTACCTGAAGCACGTCTGTCACAATTATAGTAAGTTATACCTTAGCTAGTAGTAGCTATATGATATATTTACCCTAGGTTTACTTAGACTATAATGTCACGAATCACGTGTTCACGTGATAAGAGAAGACCAGGCGGCGTCCTGAAAGGTCAAGCACTATCAGTACTCTTATAGCAAATAGGGACGCTTGGGCTAGCTAAGCGATCCAGGGATTTCATTCGGTTAGTATCACGTGACAGGGTCACATGATCGTTGGAGCTTGCAGGAGCTTGCGTTGGAGCTTGAGGATCTTAGGCTCCCCGTAGGCTCCACGAGAACGAAGGTTCTATATAAGACTGGCACTTCTGCCTTTAGATAGGAGCTTCGTGCTCAATTGGGCTAGCTAAGCGATCCAGGGATTTCATTCGGTTAGTATCACGTGATAGGGTCACATGATCGTTGGAGCTTGCAGGAGTTTGCGTTGGAGCTTGAGGATCTTGGGCTCCCCGTAGGCTCCACGAGAACGAAGGTTCTATATAAGACTGGCACTTCTGCCTTTAGATAGGAGCTTCGTGCTCAACTTAGTTATCAATCTTATCATATTAGTTTGACATCTTTGATACAAGTAACGAGTTCACTTCCAAGTGAACAACCCGATAGTCTTCTTCTTATCATAGCATACCAACCAGCGAACACCCAGCCAAGTTTAGTTAGCCAGTTTGAGTATTCGTTACATTAAAATACTACTTTTAGAATACCTTACTCTTAGAGTATATAATACCCTAGTAAATTAATAGGACTTTATTATTTATATTAATAGTAATAGTAATACCTGGAACTATTTTATACTTTAACTAACTATATATAGTATTAATTATAAGGAAGTATTAAAGGTATTTAATAGTTTTATAAAGTAGTTTAGGTATAATAAATACTCCTTTAAAGGTTCTATTAGAAATAGTATCTTTTCCTTTATAATTTTAAAATAGAAATAGTAGTTAGAATCCGAGTTTTTAAAGCTTTTTAATATAACTCGGAAAAAGCTTGAATAGCTTTATTTTATTCTTTAAACCCTTCTTATATTATTTCTCTATGGCTCGGTATACCTATTATATTAGTATATTATAACCCCGTTTATATAAAACCTTAATATTTACTAAGATTAAACTTTTAAAGTTAGAATCTCGTTTAATAGCTAATCTAGTATAATAGTCTTATCTTAATATAGTGTAACGAATACTCAAACTGGCTAACTAAACTTGGCTGGGTGTTCGCTGATTGGTACGCTATGATAAGAAGAAGACTATCGGTTTGTTCACTTGGAAGTGAACTCGTTACTTGTATCAAAGATGTCAAACTAATATGATAAGATTGATAACTAAGTTGAGCACTAGTCTTCTTCTTATCATAGCATACCAACCAGCGAACACCCAGCCAAGTTTAGTTAGCCAGTTTGAGTATTCGTTACACGCCAGCTCGACAGGCGAGTTGGCTACCCAGATCATAGTACTTGAGGATGAAGGTTCTATATAAGACTGGCACGTCTGCCATTAGATAGGAGCTTCGTGCTCAACTTAGCTATCAATCTTATCATGTTAGTTTGACATCTTTGATACAAGTAACGAGTTCACTTCCAAGTGAACAACCCGATAGTCTTCTTCTTATCATAGCATACCAACCAGCGAACACCCAGCCAAGTTTAGTTAGCCAGTTTGAGTATTCGTTACACCTAGTACCGTACTATTAATTGCCCTAGGTTCTATTCTAATTCTCCTAAACGTCGTATAGGTATAGTAAGAAACCTAGCTATTACTCTATATACGCTATTAAAAGTTATTATACTATAAGTCTCGTATAAGTAAATCCATTATCCTATTTTATTTAGGTTAATAAGAAGCGAAAATTATCAATTATTCTAAACTATTCGTAAAATTGTTTTAGTTTATAAGGTCTTTAGTATAATATCTTTATAATTCAGGCAGTGTATATAGTAGGTAATGCCCGCCTCTCTTACATCCAGGTTTTCGGGTTAGCGATGTCTTGGTACTTTCCGTTACTACTCCTTAAGTGGTACGGAGCAAGTCGGACCGAGTCCCGTAGCGCGCCTAGACATTATTCTGACCAATCCGACCGCTTGAATAGGAAATCGCAAACTCATAAATCGAGATGTACCTATGCGACGTTCAGGAGATAAAGAACCCCTAACCTTCTAAGCTGAGCCCTGTTCCGTACAACGATATTAGTCCTCTGGCTAAATAACCGCTCGCTAGAAGCACTTGGCGCGGGAACTCACAGCGGTCGGTCCGGTTGGCCGATACTCGGCCCGGCTCACTCCGTGCTCCACAGGTAGTACTTAACTCAACTCGATTACTTGGCGAGTTAAGTTGAGTAGGTACTACTACTCAACTCAACTTTGAATGAGGAGGGATGAAATGGTGGCGTCAATTACATGGTGCTGTGAACAATCCTTTGGATTGCTATTTACTTAAGCGAGAGGCGGAACAAGGGTATTGAAAGCATTCCACTCTGACTGAAAGATTGCAAAATGAGAAGAGCTAACCCAGGAGGGAATAGCGTTGATATTTAATGCCATTGTTTGTATTCAACTGGGAATCTTTGTCAAAGGAAGATGAAGAATTAGCATTTACATTGCTAGAATGCATTTTGAATAAACAATGTTATTGTTGATTGGTAGATACTCGTATTAACACTTGATTGCGTATGATCATACACACAAGAAATATCATCTTGATATACTTGTTACTAAAAACAAGAATCAACCGTCTTCTGCAGTAACGAAAATGTATTGCCCTATCAGAGACCAGTATATTCCTATGTTAGCACCATCCCAGCAAGCTAACCAAGTGAACCAGGTGAGTACTCCTAAAACACGTGGCCATGCAAGGGTTTGTACTTGTGGCTGCGGTCAGGCGTATGTGCTCATACCGGGTACCGGGAATTGTCTTGATATGGCGATTCCTGAGTTCTTCAATTGCATGTGTGATAGAGAACAAGTATTGGATGCCAGCGATGGTATTAAGAATTGACAATTCGTTATTTTTTCGATAATCCATCTTCGGCAATAGTATGGTGATAAGAGAAGAATTCAGACCACGCACTCACTCAGCCAGCCCCTTTCCCCCCCACAAACAGCTGAGCAAAGCCAAGCCAAGCCCACACATCCGCAAACCATCACAAGTCCGTACATAAGAATTCGACAAACCAAAAAACAGAAATCTTTGTTGCACATCGCGAGTGGGTGTGTAGCCTGTAAATCTTACCAGTCCCACCAGTCTCATCTCTCTTTCTTCCAAAAGACCATTCTTTCGCTTGTTGGCCGTATTACGAAGAAGGAAGCATGGTAATTTGCCACTGTCTTTCTGGCTCGGGTAGTAAGCCATGATGGGAGCTTTGTTTTGTTTCATTTCGCAATCTCAAGGTATTAGGTATCTTTTGCCGGTTTTCTGTGGTGGTGAGTCAAGGGGAAAGACCTTTCTGAGTCAATGGGGTATGACCTAACTTGTTTGGGGGGAGAGGAGGGTTTGTTGCATGTCGGGGTATGACTCTTTGATTCGTTTGATTCATCGCCTCTGATGGGAGAATTTTGAAGGGGTTGTTTGTGTTATCTTGTAGTTTTCGAAATGTACTTAGTCTAATAATCCTGTGTGGTATTGATTTGTGGAGAAAACAAGGAGAAAGCAGGTCCTACAAAAGGAACAGAAGAGATATGAATCCCCTAAATATATGTGAAAATAGTGTGTTCATTCACGAGTCACAAATAATACTACGAATGTGGGGGCTTTTGAGACCACTTCATTAATTCTTACATAGTCTTACATATTTGAACCAAGTTTATTTCAGCAATATACTCTTGAAAGTTCACATGAAGAGTTCAAGGAACAGTAAATTAAGGAACCGAAATAATGAGGGTCTATCTGATAGCTACATATTATATAAACGTATAATGTAGCTAATTGATAATTACTTCGTATTATCTATCAAGAGAATCAAGAGCGTAGGATATCAACTCTAAAATTAGTGAACAACACATACCATGACCCTAAAAAAATTCACACGCATACCAAGGTCATACAGCCCGTTAAAAAACAAAAACCCCATAAACCTTGAACACTACCTTTCACCCATCCCATTTATCAAGAGATCAAATTTTCATAACCCCAGAAACATCCAAAAAATACTCCACCAAAAGCTAACCTATTCATTGTGAATACCTTCATATAACACGCATAATATCACCCAACACCGTCCCAACCTCCCGCTCCCGATTCCCATTTTCCTGCCCCTCCCGACCCGTCGCATCCCCATGATGCAAAACACTCTCCCTCCTCCGACTACCAGGACAGACCATAATCCTAGAAATATTCTCTACACCGACAGTCTCAGATACCTGGCCAGGAGCTGAATCTGTATTTTGAGCGCCGTGTGGGACTTTAGACCACCAATGTCCGGATTCTAGCGTATCATCTCTTTGTGAGGGAACGGCAGTATTGACCTCTGGGTATGTCCTGTGTGTAGTGGAGGATCTTGATGAGTTCAGACCGAGATTGAAGGACTTCTGACAATGGAGCTGGACGGGGGTGTTATTGGGCGATTGTGGCTGGCCGGTGGAGTGGGGGAAGTGTCCGGGTGTGGAGGAGCGACATCCCTTGTGGAGGGTTGAATTTGAAGCCAGAGAATTTGGGCTCGAGATTGTTCTTGGGTGAGGCGTGGAGGCAATGAGGGTGGGCGAGTTGGTGATTGAGTTTGTGAAGTAAGGGGGTGTATATGGCGGTTGAAGACTAGCGAGACTGATTGCAGATTTGTTGATCGCGAAAGAAAGGGGTTGGTTAGAGGAAGTTGAAGTTTTGCGCAGTGACAGACTTGTTAGATAGACATTCTTTTGAGTAGGAGATACATTTGAAGATGTGGTATTTGGTGATGATGGTGCAGTGCCGCTTCCGTGCGACGAATATGTTGGGAGTTGTCCAGGATTTTTATCATGGTGCTTCTCAACGACATCGCGGAACGCCGAAAGTATGACAAGAAGGCGTTTTGCCTGGGGATCACTCTCTGAGCACCATCTCATGATATCGATAGCGTGCTGGACACAGATTTTCGAGAGGGGATTAGAGTACAAGAATGAAAACTCATTCGACAAGACCACAAGGGCGGCAGTGAACATAAAATAGCTGGATCTTGTTAAAATAGTAGTTGTAAGATGACAATGATAATGCTCACATAACGAACGGATTCCGACGAGATAGGTATCCACCTTCAAGAGCTACTTGCACAAGCGCAATGCTGTGGCAACTAGCCACAACACAAGATTCAGCAAATTGCTTCATTTTCGCCCCACAATATTTCAATTCAGATCCGTTGCCGGAATCCTCGTGTTTCTTCATCAAATACAAAAGAAAAGGCCTTGTAAGCAAAATAACCGAGTGACAATAGAACAGGTTAACATGCAGAATAGCTACACCTTGGATTGGCTTTGCTGATCTTGCCTGTCGCCAATGAAGCGTTGGTTCCAACATCTTCGGACATGATTTGTACTCGTTCGCAATTTCTTGAGCAAGACCCGTGGAAACTTTTCGACACGAGTAGACCTTCTCGAGCACAGTTCCAATAACGTGGCAGCTACGCACCGAAACCTTAAGTGCCGCCGAGTTAGTATATTCCTCATTGGCATCGGGTTGACTTGTGTGATACTCGGCCGTTTCCAGTGTATCTCCTGAACAGTCGCTTTCACGAATCGCAGTGGGACGACCGAGCGAAGTCGCCAAGAATCTGTCAAGAATGAAAAGGCTGCGCCATAAATTGCGTCTTACAGACTGCTCCTCTTGGTCTAATATAGAATGTGTCTCGGCCCTGTGGAGACCTAAAGCGAAAGCTGACCGGACTGCCGTGCCTGCAGAATATCAGCATTGGTAAAAGGAAGGTAGCAAAAGTGTTGTTACCGTGGTAAGCATATGCAGCATTCCGCTTAGAAATAGATAACATGTATATAGACATCAGTGTTAAAGCTTGTATGCTCCAGAAATCACTATCCTCAAAACCCCTTAACGGGTCCCCAAGTTGTTTTGCATTTAGATAGAAATTTTCAGCTCGATCGACAGATTCACTTCTCAGTCTTTGTATTACTTTTTCCTCCTCAGTTCCAGTGTTTGGGCACGCCATGATCAGTCCAATGTCAAGTGGAGTAGACAGAGCCACGAAGAATCCACATCAAGAGGGTCCTCGTAACATTTTTCAAGTGATTCCACAATTTTCTTTTGACTGAAGACTTCAACGAGACCATTCGTCTATATATATCATCAGCAACAAATCAAAACGAGACCATTATACCATACATTGATAAGGTACGCATCTAGTAAGATACGAGCGGTTGCCTTGTCAGGAAGCAAGGACGTCAATCGAGTATTGGTAGGCAGAAGAATGGTATTTTCGACTATTCGGTGTCTCTGTGGATCTTTTGTGAATGGAGAAGGGCCTGCTACCCCCCCTATGACGACTCTCACAAGTTGAAGATAGGACAGCGAAGCAGAGTCCCCAAGGTATACTGTATGAGGAAATGGATCAGTTATCAGTTCCCGTTCAATTTCCGTCTCGAGAGAAGACCATCAGTCTGTTTGAGAACATTGACATACATATTCTTGAAGCATCCGAGTATATTTATAGAAATCGGCCTCTTCATCTTGTGCAACAACAACCGAATTTTGTGGAACTTCTGAGAGCTCGGAAGTCCCATATTCAGACTTTGGCTGCTCTTTTTGGTCAATATGTTGTTTTACTTGATCCATAGAGGACTGAAGTCTAGACTCAGTAAAACTAGGGAGGTTGGGAGTGGTGATTTCTTGTGTAAACAAAACATCCCAGTCCGAAGTTTGTGGTTGTTGGACATTGAAAACATATTTGGGCAACTCCTTGTCGTCCACAGGACTTGAAGCAATTATAGATGCTGTTTCGGTCTTTCTTCGTTTATTGGGGCTATCAGTGTCTAAATCATTCTCTGGACCCCCATATAAACAATGTTTGGTTCGATTCGAACAAGTCTTGCATGGAGATGCCCGTCACACTATCACAGTACGTGTTAGCCTATGGAATAAAGCTCTGCTCCGACGGAGAGTACTCTCGAGATTGAGATTGAGGAGAGGCGATGAAAATGTATCACTAGCTAAGTAAGAGATCCGCTCAATACTGCTTAACATTTGTACAACAAGGCAACCATATATAGGTACCAAAGACAGTATCTTAGACTGATGAGAGACTAGTGATGAAGGTAAGAAACACGATACTAATACACGAAGCGACAAGAGGTGATGGAGCCTGAAACATGCGGAAGTGGGAATTTAGACTGGGCAATGATGTGAGCGATAGTGCTGGTACAGCTAGACTCAGAATTGTCTCAAACAATTGACTTTGAGAGTGAGTATCGGGATTTGCTCGGCGCGAGTAGGTCTAAACCCTTACGATAAAAAAACATAATCCTCGAAATGGGAGAGATGCCAATGCGTACCTTCAGCTTGCTCCTTTTACAAGCTAAGCATGCTTGAGAAACCCGTTTCCGTTTTTCCGGGTCAACCTTCTTGCGAGTCATATTTTATGAAACCTGCTGCGTTGAGGAGTAATAAACTTTGGCGATGCAAGCGAGTTTTTTATCGGCTATTTGATCCCAGTCTAAAATATGTGCTGCTGAAAAATTGATAAAGATGCAGATGGAGATTCTCCAGTCCACCTCTACCTTGGAGGAAATATATTCAAAATGTCAAAAAAGAAGGAAAGAAAGAAAGCTGGTTGTCATGCAGCCTGTATAAAGATGTTTTGATCAGATGAGTCAGCTCAAGACACTGATAATAGAAAAAAGAGGATCTTGAATTCTGCTAACCTAATCGGCGAAATTGAAGCGAACATATGTTGGTTATTTTGAGCTCTCAATAGGAATAACGATATAGTGACGAATGGGCGCTAGAAAAAGCAAGGCAATGTGGTGCACAAACTCTTTCGGCCTGCCTACCCCGAAAGGATATCCCGAGAGCGTTTGCCATTCCACAATCGCAAGCCGACTCGGTTACACCGCCTCAGACTAGCAGAAGTCGCAGGGAAGGCAAGAGACGACTGAAAGCACTAGATTCAGTAGCCCAGTACACTCGTCAAGTTGGAAGCCTAAATGACATATGCCGGCGCCGGTCACCCATACACCGCGCAGTATGAACTTGAATTCCCGTCTACCCGGAAGGAGGTAAAGGTGGTTTCACTGCATCAATCACTGGTATGATGCCGAACAACAGATACGAACGAACATAATTGCATGACTCAAACGGCCCAGTATAGCAATCCTGTATAGATCTTCGTATTCTCGTTGGAACACAATTTCTCTAGAACGTTGCCATTAGCAACTGTGCACAGGCGGGCAAGAATTTTTTTTTCAGGTGCCTCTATGCCTTTTGCTCAGCCCGAAAAGAAAATGCATCATGCAGCAAGTTTCAGTCAGTAGTAATCCATTACTACAGAGGACAAATGGCGGAAGCCGATTTGCGAATTTCTAATGTATGATCGTCCATTAAAAACTCCCAGATGCGTTCGGGTATCACAACTGCCGGAAAACCAAGCAAGTAGAGCAACTCACATCTCCGCTCAGTCCACGACCTGTGATAAAGTTGTTATTGTAAGCCAAGCCAAGCCATAGACTCAAATCAAGGCTCTTGCATCAGTAACAAATCGAAGAGCGCAATACTAACAACTAAACCCGAAGAAGTGGTCACAAGCGATTGTTAAAGATGAAATGTAAAAAAAGCACAAGGCAAACAAAGGGCATACATTTTTCGGACCGAGAATCTCGCCTCGAAAACATTCCGGAAGATCCTTCGCCAGCTCATCGAACTCCATGATAGCACAATATTCAGTAACATGGCATCCGATTCAGGCCAAGTTCTAGATGCAGGTTCTAGAACCTATGAAGGGGAGAAGAAGTTGTACAAATCGAGATAACCTCCCCAGTACTGTACAGAGTCGATCAGTGAGTTTCAACGCTCATATTGACGATTTTGTATGACGCCTTGTACTACCTGAACAGATCTGGTGTTAACAAGGCTGAGGTCCTCTGTAGATGTTGAAGGGAAGGATGCACTAGCATATTTGGTGGATAGTTTTTCGGTTTTGAGAAAATACCACAACAGCGCTAGAAAACACGTAGTAGATGGTTGAACGTCGGGTGCAAGACATAGCAAACCTCGTGCAGAGAAATCTTCTACAAGAAGCAATCTTGCTTTGATTGGATTGTCTTGAGATGTTTTGCATTAATATCAAGCCACCACAGCTGCGATAAATTAGGTCAGCCACCAATTATCGCATGCAGTGCATCAAGATCTCGGGTCTGCTTTAGCAAAACCACCCATCAATTCCCGTGGTAAGCTACTTTTGTGGGGTTCTGATTAGGCAAAGCTCATTCGTGGTTGAGGTTATAATGAGAGGGGTTATGGGCATGGGTAACCAGAAAGAACCCCACCAGAACTGCACCTGCATCCATGGCATCGGCATCACCAAGATGACTTCTTGGGCGAACCATGGTTTGCGGCATTTGGTTACTGGATGCCGATGGTATCTCTTGATACAGAGCTGAGCGGCTCTGGAAATATGAAGAAGGGTACACAATCTATATATGTATAAGTAGCACCTTCAATACCGCAGGATTTGGATTGGACTGCTGGACGAGGGTGCCCTATGAGCAGACGCATATCCCTTTCGCAGCTCTTCCATGGCCTACCTGGTACACCTCTTGCTTACTTCTCGATGAGCCTCTTGCAACTGCCACTGCCACTGCCACTGCCACTGCCACTGCCACTGCCACTGCCCGCTTGATCCTCTACCTCCTCTCCTCCTGCAAGCGGAGTTACTTGCAGGTGCTTCACAAGAAGATGCGTGTGCTGAGTTGAAGAGTAGACGAGATGAACGGGGCCTCGGTCGTCCATGAGCTAGTGTTTCCTTTGCTCAAATCTTGGCTCAAATAGTACCCCTCTCTCGCCATTTCCATATCCAATCCAACCCAACGCATCCCATTTTTGATGCTGAAACCCCGCCGGATGGAGCTCGAGGCAAATACAAGAGTGGAGGAATAGGCACGCTTCTTCAAGCTGAAGGGCGCAGTGTAGTCAATCGGATTCTTCGGATGGGCGGCAACAAGCTTTAGCTTGGTAGAGTGGGAGGGAACTGCCGCAACTTGCAACGCCTCTTCCTGTGCCCACATTAGCATGTTTCTTTCGGTCACTGGGCACAAGTAAAGCTCACCAGAACTCATGGCCATGGCCGCAAGCATCTGCAAGAAGGATAATGTCAATGGCAGTGGTGGTGGTGATGATGTTAGTCTTGGTGGTGTTGAAGGAAGCTGGAGGGGAACCAGCTATGACGTGAAAGCCGGAGCCCAGATAGCAACATCGCGCCTCCTCGAAAAACTAAAAAGTCAACTGCCCCCAGACATTCTCCACCAAGTCGAAAACGTGCGATTGACCTCGACCTCGACCTCCAATGGATCCAAGATATATTTTCCCTGTCCCTTCAAGGAGACTGAAGCCATCATTGCTCTCAAGAGCCTGGAAGCGGGAGTTGTCGCAGCGCTGGCAGAGACGCAGGGTGGCGACAATGTATCGAATGGGGACGTAGAGGTGGAGGGGAAGGCTCACAAGAAACGCAGTATTGCGATCAATATGGAGCTTGCCGCGTAACCAAATCCGCCCGAGAAAAAGATCCTACTAATATGATGAGTAGAACTTTCCTGTTTTCCACCTACATAACTACCATTGCAGGTATGGGCAAGCAAGATCCAGAGGTAAAGGCAAAGCTGAAGGATACCGATCTGCTTGCCGCGCAATCCATCCTCTATCGGAGACTCTCTGCCAATCTCTATGAGACCAAGGTCCCTGGCGAATACTTTCATATCCATGGTTCCCTCGAGGCTGGAAAGACTTTGAATATGATCGGATTGGAGGCCCATCGCCCAGATCTGACCGACTACCATGAATGTATTGCAACAATCGAGAGTCATGTCAAGGCCTTTGCAGCTACCGAACTTGAGCAGATGAATGCGGATTTGGGCCAAGCGGGAGTCACTGCGTTGAAGTGGGATGAATTCAAGCAGACAGAACATGTCAGTACTGCATCCAGCGAGTCCTCTGATGTCAATTACCTGATAAGCCAAGGGTTCAATATTGCTTTCTCTTCCGCCCTTTCAATTATCGAGGATAGATGACCCCTCACCTCCAGTCCCATTGCCTTCAAGTTTTTCCTCGTCTAGCTCGAACCCGCAAGTGCTGTCAGGGTCTCGGGTTCTCGAGCTTTGTCGGGTGATTGCTGGGCCTGCCATGGGGAGGACTCTAGCAGAGTACGGTGCGCAAGTCATAAAGATAACGTCCCCGAATCTCTCAGACGTTCCCTTCTTTCAAGTGGATGGGAACACAGGCAAGCATACTTGTGACCTGGATCTGAAATCCTCCTCAGGTCGACGAGTATTCGAAGAACTATTGCAGACCGCTGATGTAGTCCTCGATGGCTATCGTCCTGGTTGCTTGAAGCGACTCGGCTATGGCCCTGAACAGATTGTAAAGTTGGTTGAGGGGAGAGGTAAAGGCATCATCTATGTTTCTGAAAACTGCTTCGGTCATCAAGGGCCCTGGCAAGAAAGACCAGGTTGGCAGCAAATAGCAGACTGCGTCACTGGAGTGGCGTGGGCACAAGGAGAGTTCATGGGTTTGAAGGAACCTGTCGTACCACCATTTCCCATGAGTGACTATGGAACTGGGTCCCTCGGGGCGATTGCCGCACTGCTAGGGATTTTTCGAAGGGCGACAGAGGGTGGATCTTGGGTGGGAACAACCTCTCTGTGTCAATATGACATATTCTTGCTAGAACTAGGTCTGTATAGCAAGGACATACAACGAACACTTCGGCAAGAGCATGATGAAGCATTTTTCGGTCTTCGACACTCCGACAGTGTTGATGAGGTGGGGAAGAGAGCGCTTCTTAGTATGCAAAGAGTTCATCCGGAGCTGTTTAAAGATTCATTGATGCAAAAAGCTTTCAGCAAGGGTTTCGGGGAAGAAATCAAGTGGTGTAGAAGTCCAGTCAGCATCGAGGGTTTGCGGGTGGGGTTCTCGAGAGCCAGCAGACCCAACGGGTACGACGACGTGGCAAGCTGGAATGATTGGGAAGTGGAAGACGCAATACTCACGGGGTAGGTCTAGTGCATGTCGGAAGGGGAGGCAGCAGCAGACGAATAGAATGGGTTGATGCTTTACGAAATGCATACATACAGCCTGCAATGCATTTCATTCTGCGTTTGTGTCAGTGTATCGAGCCAACCCCTCCTGGCTTGTGTTTTATTGACTCTTCCTACCCATATGTTGCCCTCCCCGGAGATGGAGATGGAGTATACAAGTGCGTTGCATTTCAACCTAAGCAGGAGTCAAACTAGTTGGAAACACTCGCCAAAACACCTCGAACAGAGCGTCTAATCTGTAGTCAAGTCGACTATTGAAGCAATGCCAATTCCTGCAACCACCCGTTTCCTGAACCACATGCAGAATCAAGTCCATCCCGGGATCTTCTTAAGGTGCCGTCCGAATCTGTTGTCCCATCGTCCGAATCCAGGCCGCTCATCGTTTTCCCACCCCCCGCCGTGTAAGACCCGTGCGCCAGGTCAAGACTCTTTCAAAAAACCCACCAACCTGTGCTCCGTTCCAATCCCATGTCAACATTTCATATTTGTTGCTCATCGCACTCCTCAACTCTGGAACCGAGAATTTATTTTCCCTCTCTCCATCTCTGGTACGCCTTGGCCACTGTCCGGCCATAGGGCTTATTTCACACTGAGCCGAATAGCTCACATCGCTTGTGGGTCTAACCATGCTTGCATCAAACTTCTACTTTTGGGGACATGTCGGTATCGATTTGGTGGCACCATTCGTTTTGTGTGTATGGCCCAAGGGGAGAGGCTAACACTGTAAGTGTGGCGGTAAGTCCGTCAGGACATTAAAAAATATGTTTCAGCTCACGACGAACTTTTATTGCTTGCTAACCTAGGAAGCCCCTCTTGACCCCGCGGTTCTTTCATTGAAAGCAATTTGCGATGTCTTTTTTCGTATTTTTCCAAGTGAGGAAACACTACCGCTTCACCGAAAAGTACAGTGGTGTTGTTAAATACCCAGTATCGTCACCCACGTTTGTTCTTATTAGGGCTGCAGATTTATCCGCTCCATAACCCACCCGAGACCCGAGACCTACGAGCAATTTCAGGATTTCTGTTGATTGAAATTCTTCTGCAAGAGCAAGATGTTCTGCAGGTTTCTAATTTGAATATCCTGGCTGCCATTTCCATAACATTTTGCAAGCAAGAAGGGATCGAATTTTCGGAAATTGGTACGGAGTACGTCATTTGGCGAAAGCGGTTCGTGAAGCAATTCATTTGTGGGATGTACGGTGTTGGTACGAATACCATGTTTTGGGCGCGTGACAGGGTTGGAGCGGATGCAGTTACAGCTCAATCAAAACGGTGAGGCTGAAAAGAGCAACCATAGTTCCGTGGAATAGTCCATATTCTGCTCTTCTGATTGCTGGACGTTGATATATCCGCCTAGGTAGAGGAGGGGCGTAGCTTTTGAAAGGGATGACCCGAAACAAGGGTGTAATTAGAGTCCTGTGTGGTGGTGGGTTGTCGAGAGTCATACCCCTCCCCTGTGCGACTTCTGGGTTAAGGTTACGGAACGATCCGTGATCCCGTCCCTAACTATTTCTTTTTTGAGCCTTGCCCGAGCGTACTCATACGGAGTAACGAACTACGAGTACGGGTCTCAGCACGCGACGACCTCGGCGGGATCTTCAGGTACTAATACAAGACCATACAAGTTTTGTTTACGGAGGTTTTGGAGAGGGAGTCTGATCGCTTAACCTCTGATATCCCGATTTGTATAAAATTGGTGCAGTACGCTTAATTTTGTACAGGATCGTGTATTCTACGGACGGAGTACTGTATCTATAAATATCGTTTCTCGTTCACATTTCCTCATTAGTTCTTTCAAGCATGGCGTATCTGGGTGGTATTTTGCAGGGGTCTAACACGTGTGCGGAAAAACTTCTTTGGGCGTGGAAGGTTCCATTGCAGATTTGGTATCTATTGGTAGGTAATCGCCTATTTGATTCAAAAGGACTAGTGGGAAGCAGGACAAGTGTTTTGCAGTGTAGGTAGATGTTTTGGGGAAGGCCTCTCATTGGTTTACTTACGGACTATGTATTGTTTGTCTGCTGTCTGCTACTCGACGTGCAGACCAGTTTTCCGGCTCGCTTTGAAGCCGATGAGTTCCTTGTGGATTGCACACCCTTTTCTCTTGTTTCCGGTGTGCTAGAGTGGTGGGATATTGTGGGGATTTGGTGTTGTTGTGAGGGGGTGGGGGACTCAACTGAATTAAGGACTCGCTCCTTATCAGACCTACACTTGGAGAGTTTGATCGTTGCATGCACAACAATCACCCACCAACCGCTTTCTGTAACTTCCTCTACTTTCAAGTTGGAACGAGGAAGTTAGAGAATGAAATCCGACCAAGTATTTCGTTCGTGGGTGTGATGATGCTGCTGATCATACAGTACCTGGTCCCCTGTCTCTGCCTCGAAAATGCGGGGTCTATGAAGTCTGATGTTCACGATCAGATGTGGTATTTTGGTTTGTCCGATGTTCTTTTTCAACGGTGGGTTTTACTGGTATGGACTCGGTTCTTGTTGGGGATGTGGGTGGAACGGGTGCTGCTGAGATTCTGTTGTTGCCATCGTAACTCATTTTTCTATTGGATGTGGGGATTTGAAGTAGCTGGTCTGGATTGAAATCCAGACTTCCAGCGACCTCTATTTTTGTCACAGTTCTCGTTTAATTGGAATTTTATTTTTGTTTTGTTTTGGAAATCTTCCTTAGTCGCCGTCGTTATTACTTTAGGGGTCGCGTGTCACAAGACACGGTTATACCGGTAGATATAGGTAGGGCGTTGCATCTATTATCGTCATTGGATTGATATAGACAGCAGGGCTGTTACAAACTAGAACTTTGAGCATAGCCACGAAATTGCAAACTTATGTTTTCTTTATATCGACAAAACCCGGTTTCTGAATGAGTTATTTGAAAGTGTCCTAAAGTGGTTAGAAATAATCGTGGTTCAAACTTCCAAAAAGTTCATGTTTTAATGTATAAGACAATTGACTGTACATGTATACGTGATCGCTATTCTGTCTCGAGATTTTTTGTATCGAGTTCGAGCATTACAAAATAATGTTCTCCACGATGTTATTCATAGTGGTATAAATGATATAATTTCCTCATTTCCAAACCGATTGTCCCGCGACTTTACCCGAAACCCTGCAACCCACTTTTATCACGCAAACCCAACCCCACGATGAAGATTTCCAAACCCTTAAAACCTCAGAACATAGGACGGTAATCTAAACATCATACAAACTGTTGCACATCGCAAAACAATTGAAACGAACTCTTTTCTCTCACTCCAAACCCGACCAAAAACGGATCTCCAAACTGGCCTGCTCGAATATGCTTGCCCGAAATTAATATTGCCCTGGGTTTTGGGATGAATCTGGAAGTGGGGCTACTGCAAACAGGTCACTAAAGGAGCAAACAATCACCGAGAATTGTAAGGATGTTGGCTACGATGGGAATTTTGTTGCACTTCGCGAATTCTGAAACATTGAATTTAACCTTTATTCTTTGGTTTGGCTGCGGGGGTGGATAAAGAGAGAGAAGTTGTTGTGTGGAGTTGCGGATTGTTGGTGGCGAGTGTGAGGCGTTGTCTGCTTCAGATGTTGATGGAGACTTGCCTCTTGCGTTTCTTTACAGTACAAACATAGGATATCCTTTTATTTGTTGCACTTCGAGATTTCTGAGACATGCTTTTAGTCTTTGTCACATTGTTCAGCCATTGGGAAAATGTGATTTGTGGTTCGTATGAGCGGTTGGTGGTCATGGCGAGGAGAGCCGCATCCGGATGTTAGAGAAAGGATTGCTACATGGATTATGGATTTTTACAAACTTGGAAGACGGTTCATTTGGTTGCACTTCGACCTTTTTGAAACCTCTCCACTGATTTCTCTTGCTTTCTCTTGTTTCCTGCAAAATGGGGTTGTCTCGTGTCATCCACCTGCCAAATCCGGTACTGCCGGTGAGGCAGGTTGATTAGATGTGGATATGACTCCTGACAGTATATGATTCTTTTGGTATGTTGCATTTCGCACTCTGTATCATAACTTGAATGATAAGACACGGAAGTAAATGATGGTATGAGATTCTTTCAGCTGTTGCACTTCGCACGTTGTATCATAATCCAGGAGATGAAATACGCCGATGAAAATATGGAGTTTTTTTTTCGACTGTTGCAATTCGCACTCTGTATCACAATTAAGAGGATTGAGTACCTCTGTAGAGTACGGAAACAGAGATATTAGATTCTTTCAAATGTTGCAGTTCGCACTCCGTATCATAATTGAGGGGATTGAGTACGGAAACAGAGATATTAGATTATTTCAACTGTTGCATTTCGCACTCTGTATCATCTTTCAGGAGATTGTATCCGGAAGTGTTGACGGTGTGGAGTTCTTTTCACTGTTGCATTTCGTACTCAGTCTTACAATTAAGGAGACGATATAAAGATATGATGTTTTTCGATTGTTGCAGTTCGCACTCTGTATCACAATTCAGGAGATAGAATACGGAAGTGATAAAGTGAAAAACTCTCAATTGTTGCATTTCACACTCTGTATCAGAAGTCACATTCCGTAGCAAGACCGCCGAACAATGTCTTTCTTTCCTCGCCTTACTGATGAAATCCTCTAACTTGTTGAAGATGTTCTGGTATTTTTGTTGTATTTCGCAATCGCGTAAAGTTTCCTGATCTGTTTGGCTTTAATATATAACCAACTCACCAACATTGTCCCAGTGGGTTGCCACCGGAAGGCAAATACGAGATCACCAACAATGAACTTGCCACCATAGCCTATCCGGGATTCTGTTGCATTTCGAACTTTGTGGAACGTGAATCTTATCCCTTTGAGATGGAGGATCAAATTATTAAAACGATGTACACTGCATCGAGGGTATGTCAATCGTTTGTTGCACTTCGGAGTTTATAATACACATAGATATTGTTTGATTCTGAGTCTAAAACTAGGCTGATGTTTTCGTTCCCATCGTAAAATTTCCCATTCTGGAGTGTTTGTTGCACTTCGAGCTCTGGTAAATAGAAGAATGGTGGGCCGAAAAAAGTGTTGCAATAGATTGTGTCGCACTTCGCAGTTTTCGACTTCTGACGGAGATTTCCAGACGAAGTATAGTTGGTTCTTTGTCGCTTTTTGCCTTACCGAGATCCTTGATTTCTTTTACCTAGCCATATGCTCTCTAGACTCGACATCTAGGAAGCTTATTTCAAGAGCGCTTTGTCCATATCTTACCAAACTCTATCTTACTCTACTGTAACCAGTAACACTACCGACCATCCCAAATCTCCAACAAACTGTTGCATCTCGCGAATTCCAAACATTTATTGGTTCTTCCTAATCTAGATAAAAGGCGTTAAACTAGACTTTTCCCCTGGATATTGTTGCATATCGTACATTCCGGAACGTGAGCTGTTTTGAGCTCGCGCTTAGTGGCGTCAGATTCTCACAAAGAAAAGCATTATTGGTGATCGGAAATGAGGTATCTTGTGACTCTGCAAAATTACTGGAATAGTTGTTTGTTGCGTATCGCAAATTTGTGACGATGAGTGTTGTTTTCTTTGGGAGAAAGGACATCTGTGTTGGCGTAAGCCTTCCTTTTTTAGAAGTGTAACTGGAAGGAATGTTGGAATGCAGCCACCAACCGACGAAATTCTCACCTGTTCGAATACAATACATTTCTGTTCCTTACAGAAAACTCGATAACTGTTTGCCCGGGAAATGTAACGCCCGTCTTGACTGGTGGGCTATTAGACACATGGATAGATTCTTCCACACATGATCCACTAAATATATGCTGCTGCCAGAACAGCCCCACCTGTATCTTTTTGGCTCATTATATTTCAAAAGATATCATAGCTGAGTTTAACATATGGTAATATCCATTTCGTAAAGAATAAGTTCAATTACTCGAAACCCTGCTATAACATAGGCTACAAGAAACCAGAAACCGAAATCATTAGCTTCCCTGGTGCTAATACTAGCTTTCACACGCTCTCTATTACGGGAAAAACTGCCTCAGCTACTATCATGAACCAAGATGTCTGTTTTTCTTTGGCTTACTGAGAACTCCTTCCCACAAAGCCACTGCCGTGTCGCCACTTATTTCGATCTTAAAGGTTACTCATGAGAGCTTGGGTGTATTGAACCGAAGATGAAGGACGAGCTTGCGGGTAAGTGAAATACTACGTAGGGCCTAGGGGAAATTCTGTTAAGAGTTTCAGAATGGGAGATGATGATACTCAGCAAATTCTGGATAAGTATAAGTTGACCCGACGTTTACATGTGTTATTAGTTCTCTCTGAATCTCAATTGCCTTCTCACTTCTACAAGATATTGTCTTCTTATTGTCTTCGTCTATCTCGGATAATGCAAAGTAGAACTTATTAGTAGTAGACGCAGTAGAAGAAGTAGACGCTATAGTCGAAGACCGGGTACGGCACCGGGCCATTAAGTTAGATCAAGGAAGCATTTTCAATCGCTTACAGTATCAAATCTGAAAACTTTGTTTCTTATTTCACTGTGTAGAAGGTAGAAATATCAATTATACTTGAGTTGCACGTGGTACCTCATCATTATGAAGCACAATTGGGGGACAGAGCGGAAAGCATTGTGGACAACGTTTTCGAAGCCTTCAAAGCTTTCGACCCTTCACTATTGCTGAGAAACCATTTTGAAATTTAGATTGGCAACTTCAATGCTTCTTCCTTGTCGATTTTCTTCAAAAACGTCCCTCGATCCCAATATCGACAAAGCTAGCTCACAAGGCGTTTTTAATAAAATCAGCGCACCTCTCGCTAACCATCGCCGCTGGTGCTTGTAGATGCGCAGATGTTATTTGAGGGAAGACGCTGGTATCACACACTCTTACATTACTCAATCCATGAACCCGTAACTCATCGTCAACCACACCAGGTATGGGATCGTTCTCTGGAGCCATTCGACAGCTACAAGCATAGTGGTATGTTGTTCGCACCCTTTCTTTGATAAATTCGTCGAGGGCTGCATCATTGTCCTTATCTTCCTCGTTGAATGTGAGATTTCGTAAAAGCGGGAATCCAGAAGCTTTCATATCTCGTCCAATCTTCAAGGAAAGCCGAACAGCAGTCCTGGCCGTGATGATATCTCCGGGATCAGATAGAAGCCCGAAGTCGATTTTTGGCCGATCATGAGGGTTGGATGATCTCAAACGGACTGTGCCTCTAGAGCGAGGTTGTAAAAGTGTAGCCAACATAGAGAAAACACCAATCTTTGAGTATAGACGGTTATGCTCCTCTAGATTATCCATCGAACTGACTGCTAGAGGCATGATTTCTATATCTGCAATCGTATCTTGGGGCACATATGTACTGGAGCGTTTGCTGTTTTTGGGTGCCTCGGATTCGGAAGATCTGGTAAGCAGCTTGGTTCCGTCGTTGCTGAGGGAAGAAGATCGCACAAATAGTGAAAGAGTTTGAACAGGCATACCCAGGATACCAGAACCGGATATGAGATATTTGATGAACTCGAGCCCACCTTTCATGACAGGGGATACTGCTAATTGAGCAAGCGATTCCTTCAACGGGACCTCCCATGCGACAGGAACGCTGACATGATCGGTCTGAATGACTCCAATTAGTGGGTGAGTCAAGTGAAGCAACTACTTATATAGAATAATATGGAAGGAGCTTACTAGTTCGGATTCAACACCAGGAAGGTCATATACAACAGGAACACCAATGTCTTCAAGGTGGTCACGGGGACCAATCCCACTGGTTGGCAAAAAATAGTTAGAAATGTCAATATCGGGAATGTGAGATTCGCAGGTGAGAAACTTACCTCATCATCAAAACCTGTGGCGAGCCAGCGGATCCGGAGGCGATAACGACTTCTCTCTTTACATTTACTGGAAACACTTTCTCTGCTTCCTGGTCGACACTCTTAAAGAAGACTTGTTCCGCGCGGAGTCCTTTGCCGCTCTCTTTGGCGAATATGATTTTGGTGACAAGTGTCATAGGACATATTGTTAAGTTACCCTTTCTTTCCAAAGCAAGTTCTTTTGGGAGAAAAGCATCAAATGTGGAAAGACGTTGGTTTTTCTCGTCGACGGTGCTATCAAATGTAACGACACCATCACTCGGAGCATCCGGTGCATTCGTGTCTGGTACACGCAGAAATCCCATAGCCTCGGCAATGTCTGTGAATCTAAGAAATGTCAACGAGGCAAATATAAGAAGAAAAGTAATGACTAACGTTCGATAGACTCTAAATAGCCATGATGCATATCTGAAAGTCCTAGTAATCCAAGGACCTGTTGATTATCTGGTCAGGAAATGTACTTGGGTACTGATTGAGTTTAAGTACCTGAGTGACCTCGATAATCTGATTTGGGCTGGTCGAGCGCCTTTTCCCCTTTGACGAAATACGGCAAGACCTTTTCATAGATCCACCTAATAGACCGGGCGTTCGCTCCACAAACAAGCTGAATGCGCAGTATAGCCAGTCGTTTGATGAAGACGGGGTATAATGAAGCATCGAGGGCGAGTATAAGTAGAGATTTCAATTGCTTACTCGGGATGACCAAGGGCAGCCCATGCGTCAAAGTCTGTCTTACTCCCACGGGAGTATACCATGCTATTACTAATAATCTATTAGCACTGTTGCTTTCAGGGGGACGCAGAGCGCGCTTCCAATAGAGCGTAAGTCGTTTACATTCTTGACCCGCCACCCATGAGTTCACCACAGAAGAAGAGGCTCCGGCGGTTATTACAGAATTTCATGGGCTCACAAAGCCAGCTGGATGCGCCCCCGTCGGCACGAAGAATATTGCTTGAAACAATTGGAATTTGTGAGAGCCAATTGTCATTTATTGGCCCACGTTCAAGGACGAGAACTGAGATTTCGGGATTCTCGCTCAATCTGGATGCTAAAACACAACCCGCTGTGCCCCTTTTTGCAAGATATCAGCACCGATCGTATGGAAAAGAATAGAGGAAAACGGGAAAGGCGACACACCTCCTACCACAACATAATCATAAGACCGCGAATCTATCTCATTTGGTGTGCATATGGGATAATTGGCCGTGCATGGCCACATCGTGACGAGTATCGTGTTTGATAAGATGTCAATCGAAGTACACAGTATATTGCGAGAAGTGAAAACAATATGCTTAAGAGACAACAGAACGTGCTGAGATGCAGAAATTTGTTATGGCTCTGGGAGAGAATAAAGAAGGAGAGAGCTGGTCGTCAGGGAAAAGACATTGTTGGTTTTTGATAATTCAATTGGAAGAATGGAGGAAAACGTTTGAGAAAACATGACAGCAATTTGTTTGTTGACCCGATTCCGTTGGCACTAGCCGCTAGTCCAACTTTAGGAATTGTTGGATGTACTGCGCCATTGGCTAATTAAGGACATGTGGATCAGGTAAGATACAGTATTTATGTTGGTGAAACCCCACCCACTTTTCAGTCCAGAAATACCCGAAGACAATCGGAATCTTATTTTTTGGGTATCGCGTTACAGAGGCTATTTTTCCTCGCTTATAGTTCTCTCTGTTCAAGACCGCTCAATTTTTTTTTCAGACTCCCTAACCATGGGTAGGGTATAGTAATAATCCCTGAAGTATTACTACTTCACGAATTTAGTGTAGCAGAATGGCCTTTTAACATTCCACATCATTGACCGAAACGCGGACAATCAATTTGAGTATTTAGAAAGCTAGAAGAACTGAAGTTATCGTATGTGTTGCGGTGTGTGGGGTGAATACTTTTTCAACCAGTTGTATTCTTCAGTTGTTGGCTCTTTGTCGTACAGGGGAAGGGGAGCCAAGGAGGTTGTGCACTTAAGCATACTACAAGAAACTGATGTGTCGTTCTGCGAACCGTCTAATGTTGAGAAAACGCGGGTGAACTATTGGTATTGGCATATAGCTATAGGAGCTTGATGAATGAGCAAAGTTTGTTGAAACAAGATTGTAGATGGAAGAATTACTAGATGCATATCTCAAATGAAGAGTACTTCTAGTCTTTATGTGAAGTTTTGTATGGGAGTGTGTTCTAAATCAACGAAATGATAGTGCTTTTTTACATTCGTAAATACAAAATCCTCCCACGTGGCTCTTGGGATAGCTCAACAAAAGAGTTTTCCGAAGTATAGCTAGAAAACTTCCCCCATCAAATGCTTTTACCACCAGATATTAATCAAACAACACAATATTATGGAAGGCAACTTTGACAATACTTACCAACCTTGCTGTACAAAAGAAGTTCGGATTCATCAAAACCCAGAAGGGTATTTATAAGCACAATCACTGTGGCTTTAAGCTAGTCATTGGATTCGAATAGCATCCTACGTCATAAATCTGGGCACAACTGAATCCATGACGCTAGTAAGTGTACTTTTCAAGAAATCTCAGACATGCTCCAATCAGAAATGATTCCTGTTATTCCAAGGGTTCATGTGGGGAGATACAGCTCTTATTTACTGCCTGTCACAAGCCAGACGATATTCAATGGATTTCCTCACTTCTATAAACGAACCTCAAGTATATCCACCCTCTTCTGTAAACACAAACAGTTCAAAAAGCACATTACCATATCACCAAAACACACTACAAAAACCAATAACGAGCATGTTGTTTGCAATCTTTCTGCTTGGCCTTCTCAATCTTCTTACTATTGCCTCTTCTACACCAGCGGTCTTGTCTCGTGAGAAACGATCTAAAGTAAGTTGATGACACAAAGACCTCCAGTTAGCTGACTTAAAAACAGTCTACAATTATCTGTTGCAAACCACAAACTAACCATGGTGGTACGGAGGTGACCCTGCTATCCAAAAAGGAATCGACACTTTGAAAGACAGACCTGGCTCTTGCGCTGTTGCTGCCGGCCCAAGGGTATGTACAGATCTGACTTGCGATGACAAACACAAGATCCAGCTCTGCAACGACAATACATATGCAATTGCGCCCACTTGTTCTTATCTCGCCACGTATGCGGAGGATATCATGGAAAAATGTTCAGAGCCAGGTGATCCTACGATTGGCACGCCCAGTATTTCCTGTGGCCAACAATTTGATACCGACAATTATAATGTGAGCTCATCCACATAAACTGATTTGTGGGTGTATCTTGCTAACTGTGAATTTTTTTAAGGTCATTATCATGAAAAACATCGATGGCGAATGTACTGGACGTTAAGCGAAGGCTTCCTGAGTGAGATATGGGATACGAAAATGGCGGGGTTCTTGGAGATCGCCTCGCGTCTGAGGCCTCTCTATAACGTATTAAGGTCTTATGATTAGTCTCTTCACTGGTTTGGCGAAGAGTACTTTAACTACACGAATTTGACTTCACTTTTTGACATTTGTCTTTTTCTGGGTGGCGCAAAATATCAACTACGTGATCTACACAATGCGCAGTACTACTAATTATCTTCCTTCGCTATAGAAAGATGTAACATAAGATGTAGTTACCACGCGATAATTCATCGCTCTAGAAGTCCCAACACAGCCGAATTGACTGTTCCAAAACATATGGAATAATGGAGAGATTTTGAAGGCATACATGTCTATTCAGAGGTCTAGCAATAAAAGTAGTTTGTTATGCCTTCACAAGGAAAGGCTTCTCAACTTATTCCCAAGTCCAAAACTTTTCCACTGGCCTTACCGCTTGCAAGTCTCGCAAATGCATCCTGAAACTGATCAAAAGCGAACACACTATCCATGCCAGTGCGACCGAATCCAGCATCAATCAGCTCCGTGACAGCCTTCAGCTGCTCCCCATTCGAAGAAATTACGAAAAACTCATTCTTGATCTCCATCAACAACCCCTTAGGCTTAACGTCTTCCGGGGACTGAAAAATACTTATAATCCTCCCCTCATCCTTAACTGCCCACCAAGAATCCTCCAGAGCCTTCCCTCCAATACAGTCAATCACCAAATCAACCTTCTTCCCCTCTCCCTGAGCCCAAGTTTGGATATCTGTTTTCGAATAATCGAGAACCTCGATAACACCCAAACCCCTCACACTCTCCAAGTTCCTACTCCCACAAGTGCCCACAACCTCAGCACCAGCCCACCTAGCTAACCGCACAACCCAAGTCCCAACCCCACCCGCAGCAGCCGTAACAAAAACTCGCTTCCCCTTCATTCCCTCACCCTCCCTAAATTGGAAACCGGCATGAACAAACAGCGCCTGAAACGCAGTCTCAACACTCATCGGAACCGTAGCACTCTCCGCCCAACTCATCCTCTTCGGTCTCCTCGCCATTTCCTCCGTCAACAAAATCGAGTATTCCCTCGCGCATCCCGTCCGTAAATAAGAGCACCGCGCATATACTTCTGTTCCCGCTGGAAAGGGGGAGTTGGATGGAGTAAGAACGACGGTCCCCGCAACGTCGTTGCAAGGTATCAGACGTTTTTGAGAAGCGAGTGAAGCAGGGAGAGGGAAGTTCTTGTTCCAGAGGAGTTCGCCGTTGGTTATGGCTGTTGCGTGGACACGGATGAGGTGTTCGGTGGTGTTGGGAGATGGAGAGGGGACAGGGTCTGTCGTTAGGATCACGGCTGCAGAGTTCTTATCTGGTTGGATGATTGATTTTTGGATCTTTGGGAGGGACATGGCGAGGGCTTTGAAAGTAGTGCACGGACTAATACTGTAGAATATTTGCTTCAGATATTGTTAAGCCTCGTGTCAAAAATATTGTGGTAGATTTAAGTTTTGCTTTCGTGGGGTTCAGAAGTACTTATACAAATGAACTGAAATTATTGATAACAATAATTACGTAGATGCTCGAATCAACTGCCACACTCCCCAGGTATGGCCAATGTAGCAAAGTTAGGATATGCGGGAAGTCTAGTCATCAGAAGATTTATGGAACAGCTTGACTCCTTCCTTGAAGCAGAAAGATTGTGTTACAGTAGGCTTGAATTGACGATTTTCATTGGTTGTGGGTATAAGCGGGCTTGCTAGCCCCTGAATTGCCTGTCGATACCCGAGTACCCGCATTCTTTGTATAGTAGGTACGTAGGGAATATTTCGCAGAACCCATCGAATCATCGCTGGAGAGGATATTGGCATATGGTATGAAAAACTGCCTTGCCTTAACTTAACTGCGAGACGGCCCAATGCATGCGGTTAGTATTCTTTTGGTTATCTCTTCCTCCAGGAGTCATTTCGGTAGGGTCAAGTAGCTAAGCATACTGATTTGGAAATCTTTTGTAGGCATATAATGCCGATACCTATAATCTTTTCGCCTTTGGTAAGCCCAATACTGTCCAATACTTATCAAACTTTCCCTGATAAGTACAAGAAGATTAATTTAAACTAAGTTGTTTTTATGGATGGAATCGAAACCAAGCTATTGCACCTACACATGGGCCCCTCGTTAATAAGTACAGTAATGCAGCTTTTAGATGTCCGTTTTCCACAATACCGCCGCCCTTTCGTAACATGGGACGTGAGTCCGACGTAGTACGCGAATGGTGGAGGGCGCTTATAGAGGACTGCGGTAGATGTCTCGGATGTGTACATCTTAACAATCTCCCAAAAGTAGTAAAAGTGATAACTATAATACTGCTATTTAATGACTAAAACTAGCGTCTATAAGCCTACGTATACTGATAGAAAATTCCTTAATCTAAACGGGATTCGATCGAGTGTATAATGAATAGTCGATTAAACTCGATAAAACATCCTAATACCCCAATTTTATGCATTCCGGGGTACTACCGAATGCCGCATAACCTGAGCCAAATGGGCCGTTAAGCCCCTTCACTTAATTAGCAAGAAAGGTTTTTGCGCGTTTAGACCTTTTTGTACAGTTTTATACATTTTTATAGTTTGTTTTTTAATTTCTTCTATTGTTTGGCTTAACAGGGCGCTTTTTAGCTTTATGCTTTAACCATTTGGCCTTAGGGTTTGGGTTGAGCAGCATAAAAGTGGCTTACTTACCTAGGACTATATTAAGATAAGGGTGCCACCATTTGTACAAAACCCTTGTTTCTGCCTAATTGAGTGAGGGGACTGTACTATAGTACAAACTAGGATATCCTTATCGTGATTATACTAGTATCGGATCTCGCCTGAATTTCTAACAGCGTCATGTAAACTAAACGTTGTATAGCGAAACTAGGGTACGCCCGCATCCAAAACAATAAAGTTCACAATGAGCCTCCGATGAGAGAAAACGGCATTATATCGTCCGAGGTGAAACAAATGGAACTTTCCGAACGCAGCTTTACTGGAGGGATGACAGGGTAAAAGTAACATTTATCATACCTAGGACGAAGTACCTTGTACCTGGGACGAAGTATGTTCCTATTTCTCGTATACGCATATATCATTGGACGGATAACCATCTATATAGAACAGCGAGGGACCTGCAATCGGAATCTATTTCGATTACAACCGTACCGTTCTAAACCACTTCCCCGAAGACCTTTCATTCAACATTCCTATACAACTACTCTCCGTTACTACACTATATTAAGGAAGGAACACTATAACGGTTCTTACAACATGCAGATCCGAAACCTCCTTGTTCTCGCTGCTTTGGCGACCGGTGTCTATAGTGCCGGTTACGGGTCCGCATATTGTCAATTCGATACTGTAAGTCCCATCCTCTTCTTCTGTAGACAACATCAGGCATAACCCGCTAGGATTTGAAGTCTTTCTGTAGTATCTAGAATAAGTATTAATTTTTCATAGGGCGAGAGCTACAATATGGCGACTGAAAACGCATGTGATACCTTGAAGGATAGTGGTTGCGACGATTGCAAGAAAGTAGGAAACCCTATCAGGTGCATTAGTACTGGGAAAAAGATTGATCCGCACAAGGTATGCATTTTCCGGTCGTTCGACATGAATAATAGCAAGCTAATAGTATTATGAAACAGTGGGAGGCCGGCTGTATCAGAAATGGCGCCAAATCCGCAGCTGGAAATTAGTAATATATGTTAAAAGCTTTAAGGAGTAGGCTACCTTTCTCAACGTCCAAGAGATGTTAGCCAATCTCAGAAGAAACAATTTACATATCTAATGGAGAATTTCCAACAAAACCTCGTCCTTTGCGCATGAGACAAATTCTAGACGCTTTCTGCGATACATTGTGCCACAAATCTCGACATTTAGACTTCATTCGAGTCCAGCGGCTTCAGCCCAAATCTAAAGATATTAATTTCAGGACCCCGGATATTCATCGTTGTTTCGCGGGGTCAAAATCGTGTCTCTCAGCTCTTACTGTACAGTAAGCGGGCTTGCCAACCCCTGAATTGCCTGTCGATACCCGAGTACCCGCATTTTCTGGATATTGTAAGTTGCGCATTGCCTACGACGCTAGCTCAACAGCCATGGCCAAAGATGTAAAATGATCATTGTCATTGGCTGTGTATGCAACTCAATTGACCGTCTTTTGCACTCATATATGGACGCTCCTGCCCAGCTACCCAAACGCACCAGAGCACCTTCCCCCTCAAATCTTTAAGCAACCTTAGCCTCTATTTTTCTTCCCCTTCATCGGTAATCTAAATCGCACGAGTCAACACCAAATTATTGTCCCATAAAACAACCACCAAAGCTCCTCAACACCACAAGTTCCCAACTTGAATCCCTACACAAAACGTAACAATGGTCTACTCCGAAGTCCTCCAAGCAGAAGAACCAGTCTACGACTCCTCGTTCGTATCCTCCCACCCAACCCATCCCTTGATCTCAATCAACTAACAGCCACCAGCCGCCCATTTCCTTCCCTCGAGCTTCTCTACAAGTACAAACTCTCCAACACACCAGACAAGACAATCCTAGGGTACGTCTGATCTCATCATGTTCTCTCCTAGCCTAAATCCACGCACTAGAACCACATCCTAACACCAACCCAGCATGAAAGTGACCTTCCCACCCAACGCCTCGACACCACCCCACACGCACGCCGGAGCCTTCGTAACAGTCCACGTCCTCACCGGCTCCGTCCGAAACAAGGTATACCTCTCCCCCCCCTTCCCGCTACAATCCTCGTTAACGAAAGTAGATGAACAACAACCCCCTCACCATTCAGCCCGCAGGCTCTTCCTTCCACGAAGCCCCAGGTTGTCATCATAAGATCAGTGATAACGCGTCGGCTACCGAGGAGGCTACCATACTCGTGACTTTCATCTTGGAGACCGAGAAGTTGGAGGGGATTTTGGGGAGTGTGGGGGTTAATGGGTTGGTTGTTGTTGATGAGGAGTATAGAGAGGAGTTGAGGAAGAGATTTGAGGGTTAAAAGTAGGAGAGGAGTGGAAGAGGGAGCCGATGGAGGCACTTGTAGAAGGGGGTAAGGGAGGATGTATCTTGTCTGTATGAAAATAGAACGACAAGCCGGTTCAAAGGTTTCAAACTTTGAAGTCGTGCTCGAGACTACAAAACTACCAACAACAATTAACGGAACGTGAAAGACACGTCGCTTTTTAAAACGAAAAGAGACGAAGATTCTCTTCCCAATTTGTTGCAGACTTCCCAAGAACCCTTTCAACTCACATCTCATAGCCCGAAAAGAACCAAGAGCCAAGATAAAAACAATGAAGAAACAATATCCAACACACATCGCGTGACAGATCCTCCCAAACTTCGAACCCACGGAACTAACATCTGCCCCACAAACGAAGGAACTCACAACCCCATGCATTCCCATCAGAACTTCGCGCAATTCGGAATTTCATCAAATCCTGCCATAAAACGCCCACCAACCTATTCTCTCCGTTTATCATTAGCTTCTTGGAGATCCGCTAAGAAGGCTTCAGACGAAGACGAAGACATATCTTCATCGGAATCTCTGTCTTCATGACGCTGCCCAAAGTCTCGCAAATACTCCCCCCCTTCCATCCGGAGTCATCACCGGAATCTCAATAAAGATAGCAGCACTGGAATACTTATACCATAACTCTGCCTGGTTTCCATGCGCCAAGCCCACAAAAGCAATTTGTGTGTTTCTGGAAGTATCGTTAATCCAATGAACAGTGTATCGCTCCAACGGCCACACGTTCCTGAGTCTCTGTTTTTAGGTTAGACTTTTAAATTCAACCGGAAATAACACCTAATGGGATTACTTACCCGGCATTCTTCAAGTGACCCTCCAACTTCATACTCATCCACGACTGTCTCGTGGAAGCCGTGTCCTATAGCGGTTTTGCCAGCATCGGGGTCTTCTTGATCCTCTTCATCAGATAGGGAATCTCCATACCCATCATATTCGGGAAAATTTTCCATCACTGGACGTGCCACGGGACGAAGACCCAGTTCGCGAAAAACAGAGAAAACGATACAGTCCATGCCTTTGAGAGTATACGGCATTAAATCGTCAGTATCTTCATTCGCGTGTGGATATACATGAACGCAATGGAATCCTAAAGTTCCTCCTAACCTGACATCAGCCTTGCTTCCAAATATTACATCGGGTAATGGTTTTACCATTTGGAAGGAAGTTTGGGTTTTGGAGCATAGCTTGGGCAACCTTGAAGAGAGGAAATATTTGGGGATTGGTAGCGGGGAACGCCTGAAGGGTTGCGTCAACACGTGCGGTGAAGTAGAGGTTATATGTTAATGTGATCCGATGACCTTCGAAGACTCCGTAGATTTCGTGCTCGCAGTCGCTGTAAAAAGCTGCCCATTGGATACTGCTAGGGCTCAAGGTACTTCAATTGAAGTAATTAGTGGTACCATTATGAGAGACCCGGAGGTTTCCACCTGACAATTTTGACGGGTCAGCCCTGAAGAAAAGAAACTGAAAAGAGATTCTGGGCAAGAGTGCGTTTCTACCTATGAATGGACTTGGGAGGCAGATCACAAGTGAACCAAACTGCGAACTAGACCGTGGCGTATCGAAATGAGCCTTGAACTTACCACCCGGTCCGGAATAAACCTTGATGAAGACGTTAACTTTGAAGCTCTCAGTAGCAAAAAGAAGGAGTTCAACCAACATTCATTTTGTAAAGCTCAGCTAGAACACCACGGTGATCGGCCCTTCTGTCTTTACCAAATAAAGAAGGCAACAAGGTTTGTGTAATAGTGTCAATAATCCCATAATCGGATGGATGTAATAAAACAGAAAATTGGGTATTGTCAAGTTTTCCAGCCTTACGATATTCTTCGTTGAGTACATCCTTGTCTCCAAGTCCGAAGGTCGCCGGCTCGCGAAGTTCTTTGAATATCTCAGACTGGGAGTCGAGAAGGGGAAATTTGATGGTGAGTGCATTGGGAGGGTGGTTTGGAACATCCCAGCGAAGAGTCACTGGAGGGACTTGGGATTTTAATAGAGGTTGGGAGTCAGGTTGCACAGGTACATGGCCCCCCACACAGAAGCTGGAGCCACAGTTCCGTACAGCTCTGATGAAATCTTTCATTGTTGTATCTTCGATGCATTTTTGAGCATCGCCAGAAATCTGTTCGGTGGGATCCATGCTGAATCGGTATGGGAGAATGTGTTGTTGAAGAGAGAAAGAGATTATGGAAACGAAGAAACCATCACGCTATATAATGACCACAACTGGCAATAAGAAAATCGCTGCTGGTGGGACGCGAGTTTTTATTCAGGCAACAGTCTCGAAAGTAACGCGGTGGCATGTGATGTTGCCTAGCGAGCCTAAATGGCTGCAGCCACCAGCTGGATCTGCAAGGTGGCTCGGTTCCCCTACAACTCAGTAATGGCGGCAAGACCTCGTTCAATCTTATCATCGATGGTATTTCTCGACCATGCGAGCCAGCTTTTTAACTGATGCTCCCAGCCAATCGCCTCGGTCATATCAGTCTGACCAAACATTTTCCGTCCGCCGATCCAGGTCTCCCTTACCTTAACATCAATCAGGCTCATCCCACTTGGGTCTGCCAAAATATCTTTATCCACAACCACCCAATCCGCCAGCTTGCCTGTCTCAATGCTTCCCATTTCTGCCTCTTTTAACCACCCATAAGCACCATTAATAGTAAAACCTCGAAGTGCTTGCTCAACACTCAACTTTTCCTTCGGATGCCAACCTCCTTTGCCGGATGGGCTGTCAAGGGTCAAAGGTGAAAGACGGGTTACAGCAGCAAACATGCCATGGAACGGGTTAGGTGGTTCCACAGGGAAGTCAGAGCCAAGAACGGGGCCAGGGTAGAGGCTCTTGAAGCCTGGAGGAGGGAAAAAAGTAGACATGCGATATGCACTTTTGTCTAAGCGAGACTGGCCAAGTCGTGAAGGAGCGTACGCCATGTCTGATGTTGCATGAGTAGGCTGGATTGAAGGAATTATTCCCATGCGTGCTATACGGAATTGATCTTTTGGGTGCTATATATATGATAAGCAATTACTAGAGTTCAGGAATCTCAACTTTCAAGAGATTTGGGAGTGGGAGATGGGAGATGGGAAGAGAAGGAAAGGGACGAACAATGAGCTGTGCATGCTCAATTCGGAGCCTCCTTTCAGAGTTACAGCCAGTGCATGTCCTTCCCAATACATTCTCGAATGCATCTACTGCTGCTCGGTTGGCTCGATCCCCAATTGCATGGACATTGACTTGAAACCCAGCACTAAACCACTACAAAAAAAGTCAGTCCTGTCCAAATACTTTGCCTTGAGTGCAATCTCACATTATCAACCACGTTTGTAAGATCGGTCTCGTTAATCAGCATGGTACCACTAGTCTCCGGCCTGTCGGCATAAGGTTCCAACAGAGCAGCGCCCCAAGAACCTAGTGCACCATCTGCGAATAACTTCACTCCACCAAGTATCAGCATGTTGCTAGTGCTAGGTTCATTAGCCAACTTCAAATTTTTGATTTCTTCCGGGCAATAAGTGTTTCTTTCAGCACATTCGAGCATGACGTTGATTCGCACGGTCAAGTCACCATTTGCAGCCATACCCTCTAGTATCTCAACATCGTCTGGTCGTACACCAGCAATTCCGGCTCCGGTGATACCAACCTTATTCAATTCAGCCATCGCCCTCTTGATCCACCTTGTCTTTTGAGCAACATCTGGTTTTGGAGCAAGTGGGAAGACTAATGAATCCTGTGCATTGTCACAAAAGACTCCTGGCCCAGGATCTGTAACTACGACACCTCCTGGAGGAGCTTCCGGAAGTGGGGTTGACAGGAGGTCGAGAACTCGTTGAGAGGTAAGTACGCAATGGACGTCGACGCGGTCTAACATAATATATAAATCTGCCAGCGCGGGATCTTCACCAAGCTCCGCCTGCATTGTATTAGCAATTGCATCTCTGGATTGATTCCCGAAAATAATATGCTTACAGCTGTCGGCATGACTCCCCCAAAATTCTTCTGATCCCAACCTATTCCTCTAACCCACTTCTCTCGCGTCCCATACCCCTCGTCTTTATGTTTCTCTAGGAAATCCACAATTCGCTTCCTGACTTCTTGCATGCTGTCGGCCTCATATAAAGAAACGGATACCAGCATTTCCCCATACTGCAAAATATGGCCATGCGACTCAATTATCCCCGGCAAAACCCAGCCGTCCAGGTACTTGATTTCATCACCATTGGCCTCCGGAATCTCCTCTAGGACATCCGTATATATGCCATTCTGTACGCGGAAACATTTTGCTCGAGGCAAGGCCGAATTGAGGGTAGTGACGTGATGAGAGGTACCTGAGACACAATAGGTTGCGGAGGCCGAGGATTTGGAGTCATCGAGGATTACGCTGGCGACGAGAGCGAGAAAGACGGCGCTGAGAATGGCGAAGAATAGAATTCCCCTCGATTGAGCCATAATGGAATTCCAATAGCCCAATTGTCAGATTGTGCTGGGTCGACCAGAAAGGTACTTGAGTACCAGTGCCAGTACCATGAAACATTTCTTATCACGATAAGACCATCTAACCCCACTCTTAACGCCGAAGGAATCCGATCGCCGAAATGTTCCTCGCTTACTGTTTGTGACTCTCATCTCAGTCACCGTACTGTACTTGGTGGTATTTCACTTATAGATCACCACGCCACGAGAATTTTCACGAACACACCTAAGAACTTTCCGTATGGTAATTCCAAATAAACCCCCCTGGGATCATCCTTGGTAGCCTGTCTCAAGTGAGATCAGAGCTCAGGGTACGTTGACATTGGACGTGGAAGCTAGTGAAGGTGAAAGTGGACTATTTTAAACCTTCAGTTGGAACTTGCGCAATGACGATGCGCCATTATAAATACTTGGACGTGCTGTCAGCGAACTCAATAACGGCCTTCGAAGGTATATAATCTGGAGCCAGCAATTGATACGAAGTCTTGTTCTTTCTGGCTGGGAGAGAGGTGGACTTGGGACCATGAACTCCGCTCTCAAACTGTTGGATTTCCAAGGTATGGGGTCAAGTAGGTCATGTAGAATTGATTGTATTGTAAAGCAGTTATTGTACAGAGTATATATATGAGAATAGGGGTAAAAAGAGTGGAGTAGTATCCCAATGCGGAAACAGTGCAAATAATGAAATACATGTATAAATAATGAAATGAGTGGTTTCCACGGTTCAACACAAACAGAGTCAAGATAACCAAATATCATTAAAGATATACTAGAACCTAGGGGATGTCATTCAGGAGGTTAGAAATTATTCTTTCAAGATGTAAAGAGCCTCCTGCCCTGTTTCTTGTTCCTTAGCTCTTGAACCAGCTCTTTCAGTCAAGCGTATCTTCAGTACTCCTTAGATAGTGTCCATTAAATAGGAGACCAAAAAACTAATTCAAGATTGCAAATTTTTCAACCCCTTAACAGTCCCAGATAACATGCAATCTCAGATTATCATTCCCCTCATACCCAAAAGTACCCAAGCAACTAGATCCATAGCGATGTGGCGGTGTAAAAACCCAAAACGTCAAGTGCGCTGGTCGCCAAAATACTTCAGGCTCTAAACACGCTGTAGCTTCAGGCTGTTGCTGTTGTACTGTACGCTAACCGCGATATGCAACAAAACTCCCACAATGGAAAGGCGCAAAGTCGAGTTTGGACCTTGGATTGGTTGACTTGGAGGGGGTAAGAGGATTGAGCCAATGGGTTGGGGTTCGCTTAAATTAGAGTTTGAGGGATGGACTTCTAGAAATAGTGAATAGTTCCAAGTGTGTGGAACAATTGAAGTGATTACTTTGTTATATTAGTAGCGTAAGACAGTTATTCGAAACTCTACACACGCCCTAAGAACCGATCATTCGAGATTTCCTAGAACAATTAACTTGATTGTCCCAAATCACTTAGATCAATAGAGATACATTGATTTCAAAAATCCTAAATCACTCAGAAAACCATTTTCATTATACGAGACTTTTAGGATAATATCTTTTTCTAACCTAGGTGTGTACAGAGTCTCGCCTGAATGTCTTACTTTCGTAGAAACATGGGAGCTATTACTACTACATTAATGTCTACCATACGAGAGTGAAGATGTGTGCCATATAATTAGGGCCAGCTATAGCTATGGACTAATATTTGCCTTTTCGCCAAGTACCCATGTGAAAAAACTTCCAGAGTATGTCTGATGATATCTTCCTTCCGACTAAATGCGCGCTTTTTAGTTCAACGAATTCCATGCTCTCTAAGAGAAAAGGGTACCATGTATTCATCTACATGATATTACTTTGTCAATTAATATATATATCTATCAAAAACATCTTTGCGTTATTGTGGTGCTCTGTTCATTGGGTTAATAGATTTCATGGCAGTGATGAGTACAAATTTTATAGAACAGAAAGGGGCCAGGAATTTTTGTTAGATTTTGACTATCACTTGATTCAAATGCTGACTTTACATATAGTGATGTACAAAGAACGCAAGCCTATCCAAGCTTTGGGTGTGGTTAACAAAGTACCCTTTGAATCCCTTTTGTTGGTTGTTAGATAATGGCCACGCCAGGACTCCTTCAGGCTTCAAAGACCCTGTAGCTTCAGGCTACTGTCCACTAACTGCGACATGCAAAAAAAAAGTCCATCAATGGATCTGATTGGATAAATGATGCAATTCACTGAAGATAGAGGGAGGTTGAGCCAATTATTATTTGTTCGCTTAAATCCGAGTTTTGTTTCTGAGGAGCAGACCAGTCCTTTTTGAAGTGAATGCAGCCCTTAGTACAACTTTTTGTTGCATATCGCATTTAGCGCTTGACTCCCTGAAGCTACAGGGTCTTCAAGCCTGAAGTAATAACCTTCTCTTTCACTAATGACTTTTCTACACTCACTTTAATTTCATCTTGATTAAGATTATATCTAGCTTTTTAGAGTCATCACGTATTAGTTTCACTTTTCTCATTGGTTTATGGATCAGTTTTGGGGGTTAAAGGTATGTAAATTCTATCTAGTAATACAAGTGATAGTTGAAGTTGAGAGACTTTAATAGGACCAGCCATTTTTGTCTAGTATATCAAACTAATAATACAACAGGGTTAGTAAATTGATGATCCAGCACAAGTTTACTCCCTAGCTTGCGAAGCTATCAAGGCTCGCACGGCCTTTAGGGACTTAATAATTCTAGCCGAGTCCAAGAGTTCCTCGGTTTCTAAATCCATCGTAGCCCCTCCTGCAGCAGCCACCTCATCGAATTGAGAGCAAAAGGCGGCCTCAGTGAGAAAGAGGTCTTCTATATCGATCATATGAGGGCTGTGATTAGTACCTTCCGTAGAATATGTTGGAGGCTCCTGATCAGCGTCTTGGGCATCATGGCAGCACAAGCAATCGGCCTCGTCGCAGCGACCTGTTGTAGACCATGCAGCCTCAGAGGCATCATCTTCAGCTTCTTCAGCATCACAGCAGCCGACATCGTCGCAGAGCATAGTTCTCAATAGAAGATCCGATAATGCTTCTAGGACATTACCTGAGAGTTCAAATAGCTCCTCGGCTGCATCGGAATCAACTTCAGATACTTGACCTGAGCGAGGGAGATCAGAGGAGCCTTGAGAGGCATATTCTAGCAAAAATCCTCCATCTGAGTCGTCGTCAGAGGCTTCCGAAACAGATGAGTCAGACAAACTGTCAGGATCATGGCCCTTTGGACAAGTACCGGTCCAGTCAATATAGCGCTCCTTCTCGCACTGCATGCAGTAGGCGTAAACTTCGATAGCTGACATTTTGGATTGGTGTAAGTAGTGTTGGTGTGTGTAAAGTTGGTGTAGGTCTAAGAAGGAAGTGAGTGGTTGAGTGTGATTATGAGATTAGTAGATCCAGAGCTTCAATAAATAATACTGGTATAAATCTGTTTACTTAGCAGATTTGGTCAAATGTTGCGGGAATGTATATGTTCTCGAACAAATTGCTCGTCTCCTTGTTCGAAGCAGCTGAATATCAAAGCTTAATTACAAAGGAACTGCCTAACAAACAATTATCCCAGACTCAGGGGGAAAGAGCAAATGAAATTTTCTTCTTTGATTTCGAATGGACAAAGGGACAATGCGATTGTTAATTAACAAGTCTTTATTCCCCGTATTTTCATTTTAAATTTGGCCAGGTTATTCTCTTAGTTGCCACTGAGGGAAAAGCAGAGGAGAGTATTGCTTGAAGTAAGTCCACTCTCAAACGTTCATGATTAAGGATCCGCTTACCAGATTCACAATCTGGTCACTCAATTCCTCACTTATAGACAAATAATCACCGAAGTGCAAAACCATTCACCTGCACAATGTTTTCAAGGGATGGCTGTACTCCCTGAGACCTGAAAGTTATAGAAGACGGCTTTCCTTCATGTCTTGATCATCTTCAAATTTTACTATTGCTCGCATACTCTAGAATAACGGCAATTTTCATAGCAGCGCCGTAAAAAGTAGATCCCAACTGCCTTTAGTTTCATTACATCAAGAGCTACAAATGGGTGACAGATCACAAGATATTACAAATATTTTGGTACTATGAGAGCTCTAACTTCAAAACAGCTATGTAGTCTTACTAATCCTTTTCAAACCCTCTTACAACTTAGGTAATCTAGAACAACTAAAATAACCAATCCAAAAACTTAGGAGCAACAAACCGATTGGTCTGAAAGATTGAGACTAACTACTCAAATGCATTAGGGAGAAGGAACAGGGGATGATTTACATCCGCTTTTTCTACACAACTGCAACAGCTCTATGCTATGAGTCTGGGGGTTGAAGGGGTTCAGTAATGATCAGGTTATAATAGAACTTAAATTTAACGAGCATGCACGAACGTCTTGTATGCTAAAGACTCGTAGGAGGTTTATATTAGCTAAGTACTAAACTCGTATTTCTATAAATGATTTAGTAATACGTTCTTCAGAAGTATAAACTAACGTCCATCCATGCGTAACGAGAAACCACCCGTGCCGAGAAATCTTTTGGGTACTTCACTTTCAAACTGAAAAAAAAACCGAACACGCATAGGCGACTTCTATATTTTTTGTACCAGCGTTGTTATATAGTTAATTCTAAACAAATTGAGACTCTTTACTAAGAAAAATAATAATACAATCTTTTCTCAGCTTAATTTTTAGCATGCCTTCGCTTGAAGTCTATATTACAGTTCCCTTCTCAAACCTCCACCCTAGTACTTCTCTCACTTCTACCTTCTATATAGGATTTCACCTGAGTTATATAATATATATTTAATATTATGCCTGAAATTATTTTCAAACCTTGTGGCGGCTATACTATGCAGTTTTATCTAAACTCGCCACGCAGATCAGTAGTTTTGCCGAGGTGGCGAACCGTTTTTTGGAATAGCGTGCTGAAAGCTACACCTGTGAATATCTAGGTAATTTCGAAATTGGAAAACTGACACGTGACTCTGATTCACAGCATTAATTTTCAGACGAGTGTCAGTGGAGGCTTTTCTGGCTAACATCCAATCTGTCATCACATTCTCTTCTACAGTAGCTTGCAAAATTGGCTTCGCGTCGTCTCGCTCAAAAAATATTGTGAGCACGGACAGACGACCTCGGCCATTTTTGGCTGTTGCCGGAACGGGCCGCCTCCATGTGCTGTATTACATCTGGCCACTAGTCTGGCAGCTACTACCTCGGCCATTTTTGGCTGTTGCCGGAACGGGCCGCCTCCATGTGCTGTATTACATCTGGCCACTAGTCTGGCAGCTACGCGATTCGGTACCTCTGATCGAAGCAAGTGACGATCTTTGTGGAGAACAGCCCCGCACGCAGTAGCCTATTGCCTGAGATTCAAGGCTATAGAATCGAACCCCAAAGATCGAAGGTAAATTCAGGATCCTAGATCTCTACTTTTATTGCTTACTCTCTATTTCTTCAGCTTCCTTTACAATGACAGAAACAAACCATGCTAAAACGAAATTGGCTTTGAATCTGATATGCCTATGGCATCTAGAATTCCAGCCTGAGCTACTGGCTAGTCTTGCGCGCTTCCAGTGATGTACGACGATGCTTTTACCGCAAGGCTGCCGCTCAGCTGAGTGCGCCAGCCTCAACCAAACATAAATTCTTCACCCTTCGCATATATGCCACTTCGACGGCTCAGCTACTACCGAGAACCCTCCACTTCACGATCCTCGAACCTAGTCGAACAATGCGTCTGCTACACTACAATACCGATGGCGGGTTCAGCCTGGCCGAGTTCTTTGAAGGCGACATACCCAAGAAGTATGCTATACTTTCACACAGATGGGGAGCAGAGGAGGCCACTTTCAAGGATCTAACAGACGGTACGAGCAAAGGCAAGGCTGGGCACGGCAAGATACAGTTCTGCGGAGAACAGGCAAGACGTGACGGCTTACAATACTTTTGGGTGGACACCTGCTGTATCGATAAATCCAATGCTGTCGAGCTTCAGGAAGCTATCAACTCGATGTTTCGCTGGTACCAGAAAGCGACTAGATGCTATGTCTATTTGTCTGATGTTTCGATACGAAAGCGGAAAGCAAGCGATACGTCTGCCGAGTATACTTGGGAATCTGCTTTGCGAGCAAGCGAATGGTTTAAACGAGGCTGGACTCTGCAAGAGCTTATTGCGCCGGCATCAGTCGACTTCTTCTCTAAAGAAGGAGAGCTATAAGGAAATAAGGCCTCCTTAGAACGATACATCTGCGAGGCAACAGGCATTCCAGCCAGGGCTCTTCGAGGGAGCCCTTTGTCTGATTTCAGCGTTGATGAGCGATTATCGTGGGCAGCAAGTCGTGAGACTTTTCGCCAGGAAGACAAAGCATACTCACTACTTGGCATTTTTGATGTCAATATGTCGCTCATCTACAGCGAAGGAAAGGAAAATGCGTTGAGACGGCTAAAGAAGAAGATCCAGAAATTGCAGACAGGTGAATACCTAATAAATCGCTTCATTATTAGCTATCTACTAATCACTTTTTAAAAGGAGACGAGCAGAATCCACTTGACCCTGAAAGCCAAAGTTGTATACAAGACCTGCGGATAACAGATCCCCGGGAGGATAAGAAGCGGATTGAAGACACGAAGGGCGGGCTACTGCGAGACTCTTACCAATGGATCCTTGAACATCCCGATTTCCAGCAATGGCGCGACGATACACAGAGCCGGCTACTCTGGGTCAAGGGTGACCCTGGTAAAGGTAAGACGATGCTTATTAGCGGCATCCTCGATGAATTGAGCCCTTCGACGAAGCTAAGAGACAAAGCGGCAACCACACTATTGTCGTACTTCTTCTGCCAGGCTACCGATGGCCGCATTAATAATGCGTCAGCCGCGCTCCGCGGTCTTATCTACCTACTCATCGACCAGCAACCATTGCTCATCTCGTATGTGCGGAAAAAGTACGACCACGCTGGCAAGGCCCTTTTTGAAGATCCAAACGCATGGGTTGCATTATCCGAAATCTTCACTAGCATTCTACAAGACCCAAGCTTGACGAGCATCTATTTGATCATCGATGCGCTCGATGAATGTAAAGCAAATCTTGACCAGCTTTTGGATCTAATTAGTCGAACTGCCTCAACATCCACTCGCGTGAAATGGATTGTATCAAGCCGTAACGAACCTAACATTGAGGCGCGGCTGAGACTTGATCATACGCAGACGAGGCTTAGCCTTGAGCTCAACAAGGAGCATGTCTCTCGCGCTGTCCAGTTGTTTATCGATTTCAAGGTTTCCAAACTCCGACTTATTGAGGACGACGGCGAGCTACAGGAGATAATTCGAGGTCAGATATACGATAAGGCCAATGGGACATTTCTTTGGGCAGCTCTTGTCTTAAAGGAGCTTGAGCCCGTAGAGAGCTGGGACGTGCTCGATGTGCTTCAGGA